AGGCCAGGTGGTCACACAAGCCAGGCCCATCCTGCAGGCACAGCCCCAGGAGGTGAAAGGCCTGCTCTGGGCCCTGCCCTCTCCTGTCAAGAAGCCTCCAGCCCAGGGACTCCTGGGTACACACTCGTGCCCTGCCCCCACCCCCAGTTCTCCCCTCTGCCTTCACCCCAAACGTGCGTCTGACCACGTCTCCTGCCTGCAGGCACTGTCAGAGTCCCGCACTCGGTCACACACCTTCCTCGGCTCCCTCCCTCTTCTCCCGTGGCCTCCCAGCTGAGGCCACAACAAATAAGCGAGTCCCCTCGACCACCACGCGCACTGGGTTTCTCTGCCTCTGCTCGTCCCCGTTCGCCCCACCCAGGACCCCATTCCTGCCCCCCGCCAGCAACCTTACCTCTTGCAGAAGCCAGCAGGCAGGCTGCACCAGTGGCTGTTCCAGAGCCAGACGCCCCAGCGGCCCCGCCCAGAACTCTGGGACCCCCTTTCCAGAATCAGGGTGTGTCCCCGGCATCCCCTCCCACAACCAGGATGCATCTGCCAATATCCCATCCTCCCACATCACCCAGGGCACCGTCTTACTGGCTCAGGGTCTAGAGAACACCCTAGAAGCTGCTATTAAGTTGGACTAATTAAGTTGCAACATGAAAACACAGACAAACCACACCCAGGCCACATGGTCGGGGCATCCCTCACCTGTAACTATGGGACTTCAGGCCACCTCTTGGCTGTCCTGGGCCTGCCAGGTGGGGATCCCTGGGCAGTGGTGATGCCCCAAGTGCCTGCAGATATGTGAGAGCCGCTGAGAGGCACTCCCCCTCTGCTGTCCCACAGACAGGGCTTCGTGAGCTAAAACCAGCCAGGCCAGCCAGAGGAAGGCCATGACCCTGAGTACAGGTCACAAGGCCACCTAGGGAGCCGCTGCCGGGTGACAGACCCGATCCACGGGCTCCATCAGGAAAGGCATGGCCAGTCACAGTCCGGCTCGCCCACTCTTGGGACGGCCAGGGATGCATGGAAACAACCCATCCTCTCTCACCCTCCTGTTCCGAAAGCACCAGACGAAACCACCAAGGGAAATGACCGATGCGTCTGAAAATAGGAACGACTGAATTTTTACACAAAGAAGTGTGAGGCAAGGGGAACATGCCTGGGGACACACGGCCCCTCCCGAAGGAAAGTCAGCCTCTCCACAGTGAGCGGCTGGTCCACACACACAGGGACACACACCACAGAGAAATCCAAACGGCACACGCAGGAAAGTGGCATCCACATCAGTGAGCGGCCAGGAGGCACCATGTCCTAACAGACAGTGGGGTGTGAAGGACCAGACTCAACACCGGGGACGCGCACCAGAATCCGGGGCCAAAGCCTCCCACCCAGGGACCTCCAGCCTGGGAATCTGCATTTCTGGCGGGTCGCCAGGGCCTGCTCAGAAAGCCACTGCATCCCAGAGCTAAGTGCCGTTGGGTGTAACTTACAAAGATAAAATAGAGCACAACAGTATTTGCACAACAGCTCCAGACCCAGGGAGAAAAACTTGGTCATATCTGCCCTCCCAACAATGTAACTGAAGGAACCAAGTCTCTGTGAACAAAGACGCTCATGGGGAATGACATTTTTAAAACAGTATTAGGGGCGCCTGGGGGCTCAGTCCGTTGAGCATCCAACTTCGGCTCAGGTCATGATCTCGTGATCCGTGAGTTCAAGCCCCGCATCGGGCTCTGCGCTGATGGCTCAGAGCCTGGAGCCTGCTTCGGATGCTGTGTCTCCCTCTCTCTCTGCCCCTCCCCTGCTCACACTCTATCTCTGTCTGTCAGTCTCTCTGTCTCTCTCTCAAAAATAAATAAACATTAAAAATTTTAAAACAACAACAGCAACAAACAGTGTCTCACTATGCTGGGAACGGACAGTCACACACATGCACATGCACACGTAGGGCAGAAGGGGCGGCTGCCTGAAGGCAGTGCCAGAACCCTCCACGGGAAGATGCAGAAAATAAAATCATACAGACACCAGAATGACAACGACGTGGGGAAAGAACACGCACAAAGACCAGACCCGGAGAGTACAGAGCACTCGCTGGGCTGGCGGGACTGGGTGACGTTCACCATTCTGCAGATTCCCTGCCGAATGAACGTCAGCCCTGAGCCTCCGCTGGGCTCCCTCCTCCATGGGATGAGAACACGCGCCCTTGCTGGCACGGCCACTTTGGACCTGCCTGAGCACCCGCACAGCCGCCGCGTGGCATCAGGAGTGCGTGTGACCGCTGACTCCCGGGGCTGGGGCCGCGGGCGTCGGGGGAGCATGCGCCTGGGAGTCTCTGCACACGCAGCCCACACCGAGGCCACCGCTACCACAACACACACGGCCCCCCTGACCTCCGGGGGTGCACCGGCATTAGGAGACCCTCAGGTGGTCTCCGGGAAAGGCAGCAAATGGACGGGAAGAAATGAAAATAGACAAACACAGAGCAAGCAGAGGGAGATATCAGAGAACAGAGAGAAAACAGGAGGAAAAGCAAAGGTTAGAAACACACAGAACAACCCGAAACGCCACTTTTTCCAGGACATCAGGGGCCTGGAAGGGGCCACTCCGGGACCCCGTGGGGGCGACAACACTGTGCTCAAGCGTCTTGGAAGTGGTCAAGAGACCGTCTGCGGGTGGGGGCAACGCCCGCCTGGAGAAATGCTCAGGGCACAGCCCCCAAGGACACACAATCATACACACATGTGTGCGTGCGTGCGTGCATGTGTACACACACACTTAGACACTCACAGCCCTGCACGCACATGCACACTTCCATGCACACACCCATGTGCATACACAAACACACGCACACACACATGCATGTGCATACACACATGCACACTTATACTCATATCTGCATATGTACACGCATACACGCGTGTACAGTTATACACAAACATACACAATTATACTCACATCCACATATACACGTGTATGCACACGTGCAGACACAAATAGACACAAATATACACGTGTGTGCACACACTCATACACATCCACGTGTTTGCACATACACACACGTACACACTTATACACAAAAACACGTGTGTGCACATTTATATGCACACATACACACATGCACACACCCACACAGATGCATGCACATGTACACATGTCCCCACAATACACACATGCACATGCGTGTACAGAAACCTAGGCGTGCACACACAGTCCACATGAATACAAACCCACACACGTGTGTACACACACAGACACATATACACACATACGCTTGACCCATGCTCCACACATCCACATCCACGTGCACACGGACAAATGCATATGTGTCCACGCAGGTGACACACACACATGTGCACATACGCACAGCTACTTATCTCCAACAGACAAGTCCATCCACAGACGCACACACACATCTAGACATACGTACATCGTCTACTTCTAAACCACACCCTACCTTCACTGTAAACACTAGGTAGCGTTACGTATCTATAAGTAAACACACGTGTGCAGGTTTTAAATGCGCAGCCAGGACTCCATGCCTTCCATCTGCAAGACAGTGGGCTCTCGTGTACCAGGCAAGTCACCGGCCACGCCCATGACAATGAGGCTGAGCCCCCGACACTCTGGTGAGACGGTCCGGGGTCTCCCTGGTGAGGGCCTCGCCTGAGGCTCCCAGACCACCCCGTGGGCCCCAGGACAGCAGCAGACCAGGAGACACCGCCGAGAGGGACCAGCCCAGAGACATGCGGCTGACAGTGGCTCCAGGTGGTGGGGACCAGTCCAGCTCACCCCTTAGACTGGGGTGGGTGGCCTCACTGCCCCCCAGGCTGTGGCAGGAGCCGGACAGGGTGCCCCCCAGGCTCACGGCCGAACCGCTAGCGCGGGGCCACAGGCACGGCACTCTCAGGGCCCTGGAGGCTCTGCCTCTCCGTGGGTCACGCTGGCCGGCAGGTCAGGGCCCACCATCCCTGCACCCACCGGCCAGGCCCTGCCTCG